CAGTGTGTTACAACCCGGAAAACAGCAAATAACTTACACATTCTTCTTAGTAGCTTGTTTTTTGTTTGGTGACACTTTTCTAGGAGACTGTTTCCTTGGAGACGAGGAGGGAGATGGAGCCACATCTTCTTTATTGAGTCTCAATGACTGTTTCCTTGGTGACCTAGATGACAACTCTTTCCTTGGGGATTTAGATGATGATGATGATGATGGAGCCACATCTTCTTTATTTTTACCCGATAAACTGAAAAGGAAGATGAGACCAAAGCACTGATGAGTGTCTTGTGTGTATTTGATATCAAATTGAGTGGAAAGAATTGATGACTTTGAAATGGATTAACACCAGGAATCAGCCCTGTACTAATGCAATGACCTTGTTCTTTGTGTGCCAAGTTAACAAACCTTCAAAGCCATTTTATTTATTTTTCAAGTGACCACTGGCAATCAACCCCAAATTTTTAGCCAACTGAAAATTTCAATAGCCAAGTACAACAATAATGCTGGTCGCTAGAATTTATGTTTTACAAATATGTCATCCCAGTAATTTTAATTATGTGTTGAATTATAGGTAGAAGTGTGCAACCAAGACAAGCTGTATATGTTATATATTAGAGAATTTGGCACAAATTAGATTTTGTTCAGTTCGACAATAATGTTATGTTTTATGAGGTATGTCTCATCAGATCATACACATTCCTTTCACATGTACATGCATGTAAAAAATCTAAAACAAGCAGCCTATCGGCTGAGATAGCTCCGCTGTTAGCAATGCACATTTCAATTAAAGAACTGAAGACATCATTAGAAAATGAACAATATGAATAGTATCAAAGCAATCGGACTTACAGTTTTTAACAAGAAGTCGAAAATATCACTTTTTACCAAAAATTACAAAAATATTCACCAAAATAAATTAATTAGAGAATTGAAGATATCATCACAAAATGAACAAATCTGAGAGAGGTCCACATGTAGTACCTATATATGTAATATCAAAGCAATTGAACTTGCGGTTTTTAACAAGAAGTCGAAAATATCACTTTTTACCAAAAATGACAAAAATATTCACCAAAATTAGAGAATTGAAGATATCATCACGAAATGAACAAATCTGAGAGAGGTCTACCCAAGGTACATATACACCAAGTATCAAAGCATTCAGGCTTGTAGTTTTCAAGAAGAAGTCGAAAAAGTAAAACATTGACACGGACGACGACGGACAATCACTCATATGATAAGCTCCGCTCGACAAAGTCGACAGCGGAGCTAAAAATAGGCCAATGGCCTGTTGCTCAACGGCTATTGTACAAATGATTAGTGCTGTATATGCCACAACTTTTCGTTTAAATTTGTACTTTTAAATAAAATATTGCCAAACAACCACACAAAGTTGTCAATGGAATAATAAACACATGTATGCCTAACACCAAATAGTGGAAATAGTGGTTAGTTGAAATTCCATTTTTAACCAAAAATGACAAAAATATTTGCCAAAATTAGAGAATTAAAGATATGGCCATGGGATGAGCAAATCTAGTAGATGTCAACACAAGGTACATATACACCAAGTATCAAAGCATTCAAGATACCAGTTTTGAAGAAGTCGAAAATAGAATTTTTGACCAAAAATGCCCATTTTAAAATATTCGCCAAAATTAGGAAATTTCCTTACCAAATTAACAAAACTGATAGAGGACTACCCAAGGCACATGTACTATCAATATCAGCACTGTAGACCACTTAGTGTCATAGTAGTGTAAGCTACACACACACAGTAACAGTAGGATACAAGTAATATATTGGGGCAGTGGGCTAAATGCGGTCGTGGGGACTCTGGTTTGATAACAAAATACCCAGCTCAGTGTTGCATGTAAAGTTAGAATGTTGTATTAATACATAACACACAGAAACACAATTGTAATGAACGCTACGTGGATACAGTAATACACAGTAATGTGTCACGTAACGCAGTTACTCATTACGTGGTTACTATAATGACCAACAGGAATATCTATGCACAGTAATGTATAGTGCCACTAACTGCTAAACCATATAGGTAAACACATCAGTACAGAGAACTGAAGAGAATGTATGGCATACGCAGTAATCCTAACTTACTCAATACAAATGACTACCACATACACAATACAGTATTTACTAACTAGAAACACTAAGTGCTGTATCACCCCTCTCTACATGTTTCAAGATTTGAATAATTGCGAATTTCAAGATCCTAAAGACCCAAAGAGTAGTTTGTCTCAGTTCTGGACCTAATTGCATCCATCAAGGCATTCCCTGGTGCTGCCTGATAGCACGTAATAGGTACTAAGGCTGTGAATGCCTGAGTATTCACTAGATACATTGAAGTATATGCTAGTAACAGAGACAAGTCATTGTCAATGACACGTCCCTGTTCCATTCATATTTGAGTGACATATACATTCAAAGCAGATCATGACCGTAATGCACCTGCATATGTACAACACATTGTACTAAATATGAACAAAATCCATCCATGCATGACTGAGATCCGGTTTCGGAATTGTGAAAATACGTGATTTTGATGCATTTTCGGCCTTAAAATGGCCATCATTCAGCTATTGTTAAGCGGATCATGAAACAAATGCACATATCTATTTGTGACATGATGTACCATGTGTGTGTGTGAAGTTTGAACTTGATCAATCCAAACATGTCTTGGATACGATCCAGAACTGAATTCTTTAACAAATGGCCGCCAGTCGGCCATTTCGAACTTGATCCAAAAAAAAAAGACCGTGCATCAAGGTCCTATTATGTTTAA